TGTGTGGGGGGGGGGGTGTGGGTGGGTGGGGGGGGGGGGGGGTTACCCTTTCAAAAGGTACTGATATATACACTTTAGTTACAAATATGTATTTTTAAACTCTTAATATGCACCTTTAAGGTACTAATATGTACTATTTAGGGGTAAATTGGGTACAAAGATGTACCTTTTAGCTTTTGTACCTCGGGGTACTGCCCCAGTGACAGCTTTGTACCTTTGTTTTCCTGTGAGTATATGAACGAGAAAGAGACCTGTGCATGTAGGGGAAGAGGCTGGAGATGCACTTTAGACCAAACAACATATCAAGGGAAAACATTAGGTGTGAATGCCCCTAAAATGTTTAGGTTTTAGTTTGCTACCCTTATGCTGTAATTGAATCCACCCTTCAGTCCATCTATAATGGCCGTCATGGTGTTATTAGGGTTGCTGATCACAGGCAGGCTGTTTATGTAGAAGTCCAGTTGTCCGTTCCGATAGATGGCGACGTGGTAGGCACTGATGTTTCCGTTCGGCTCATCCGGTGGAGAGAATGTTACATAAACACGTGTCACTTCCTCTGGGATCACTGTCAATGTCACGTTTTTGGGAGGATCTTTGGGCTCTGGGAAAACATGACCATGAATGTCACAGATAAGTCATGCATGCATGCATTCAATGGATATCTGATAATCAAGCATGCACAAACATCCTCACCGTCCTCCAGGGTTCTGACGAGGATGGGTTCAGATGCTTTGCCGTCTGTGCGAGCGTTGGAAAGCTGCCCCGTGAAGGCGGTGATGGTAATAGAGTACAGGGTAAATGCAGTCAGGTTCCCGACAACCACCACCCTGATCTCCTCTGAATGCCGCACTAGGCTTATGTTATATCCCAAACCATCCAACTGAAAGAGGACAGAGAGAAATTGAAGAGGAACATTTCAGAAAGTCAACAGATGAACCAGATTTCTCAAATTTATGAACTCACAGCAGCGATGTCAATGATGTATGAGGTGGGCCCTGAAATGACCGATGGTTCGTCCCACACAATCTTTAACCCAGTGGGAGAAGGAAACACTGATATGGCACCAGGGGGGGCATCAGGGTCTTAGACAAAAAGATAGAGAGGGAAAGAAAAAAAAAGGGTTTGCTATATACATATGACAACCCAAGGGGAAATGATGTAGCTCAAAACCTCAGGAGACTTAATAAATGTTTGCTCTAAGCTGCACTTCTCATATTGTTCCCACGTAGACCAAAGAACAGTCTCTGCAAAAAGCAAATGCTCAAAAATGGGTGGAAAAAAATTTTGATCTTGAGAGTTCTTGAATCAAAGCTAATGGATTAGGCAGCGTTTCAACAACATTGCCCATTGATTTTCAGTATGGAACTAAAATCGTGAGAATGCATCTCTGATTCACAAGATCCGTGTACACTGCAGAGATTTCATAGCAGTGTCAAACAGAACTGAAAGACAAATGTTCCAAACACAGTGAAGCTCACAGAGGCCATGCATCATTACTTTCTTGCTCTTGCTTGCTCTTATTTCTCTCGTCTGATTTTTTTATTCTAGAAACCATAGACAAATTTTGAAAAAAAAAGAAATTATTTTACAAAATTATATTTATATTAATGAATAAATTCATAAATATATATTTATATAATAGTTTTCTTTATTTTCTATGTATTTTAGTATTTTCCGTTTTTTTAGAATCTATAGACAAAATGTCTTCTATATACTTCTATATTTTTTTATTTATTATATATATTTCTGTATTGAAACTGAAACTATACAAAGTTGTTTTTCTTTAAAGTTATAAAATCTACATTTTAAGTATCGACCTTGCCTCAGAATTTTCTTAGAAGCAATAAAACAAATGAATTGTAGATATACAGTGAGAGTATAGAGTCAAAATCAAATTGGATAGTGATCTGAAAAAACTGAATGAGAAATGTTTAATTCTATATTAAGATCTGACATTGCTGAGATCTCTTCTGAAACTCGAGAGAAGATATGCGAGACTAGACTCTTTTTCTCAGGGGAAACATCTTGCAAATGGGAAACTCAAGCAAAAGTCTCCTATTGGTGTCTAGGATAAACATACGAGACATTAAAGAGATCTCATTTGTGATTTTTCTTTCTTATGGGAATATTTTTATGCATGTGTAACATACTTCCTGTGAGTGTCTGTGTGCGGATCCAGTCGGAGGGTTCTCCGGCTCCAGCCCTGGTGAACGCCATCAGTCTGATACGGTACTGTCTATATTTCAGCAGAGGGGAAAGTGTGACTCCACTGGTTTCTCCTTCAACCCACTCCACATGCTCACTCTCCACACACGACTCCATGTGCTGCTCTGGCTCACAATTTCTTGCCAATTGCTGAATCTCTACATTATAACCCTGCAACAGACCAGGAACATGGACGGGATGCTGCCATCTTAGAGACACACTGTCAGAGGTAACATCCATTATGGTCAACGACTGGGGCGGACCAGGAACTGCAGAAAGAAAAAGAAACAATCATGTCTGTACCACAAATGGTGCAGAATAAATTACATGCCGAAGTTTAATACTTAGGGTTAGGGTTACTGACTCAAACAGAACTGAAAGACAAATGTTCCAAACACAGTGAAGCTCACAGAGGCCATGCATCATTACTTTCTTGCTCTTGCTTGCTCTTATTTCTCTCGTCGGATTTTTTTATTCTAGAAACCATAGACAAATTTTGAAAAAAAATTATATTTATATTAATGAATCAATTCATAAATATATATTTATATAATAGTTTTCTTTATTTTCTATGTATTTTAGTATTTTCCGTTTTTTTAGAATCTATAGACAAATAAAAAAAATTAATTAAATTAAAAAATAACATTTATATAAATATATCAGGGGTGGCGAACGTCGGTCCTGGAACCAGGAACATGGACGGGATGCTGCCATCTTAGAGACACACTGTCAGAGGTAACATCCATTATGGTCAACGACTGGGGCGGACCAGGAACTGCAGAAAGAAAAAGAAACAATCATGTCTGTACCACAAATGGTGCAGAATAAATTACATGCCGAAGTTTAATACTTAGGGTTAGGGTTACTGACACAGATTTGGAGAAATTTAGCATTACTGTACATCACTTGCTCACCACTGGATCCTCTGCAGTGAATGGGTGCCATCAGATTGAGAGCCCAAACAGCTGATTAAAACATCACAATAATCCACATCACTCCAGTCCATCAATTAGTGTCATGTGAAGTGTTCAAAATAAACATAGTAGGACATGTTTAACTTTATAACCACATTTTTCAGTTAAAATATGAGTCCATAATATTGCCTTTTAAAATTAAAAATGTTATCTTGTCTGAATCAAGAGAGAAATATGCACAGATCAAGCACCGTTTACAAGTGAAAACAGTCCAAAACAGTTCTAAACAAATATGTTGGTGGATTTTGATGTGAGAGGACAACAGGGCATGGACTTTTTCACCGGAGGAAGCATTATTATGGATTATGGACTCTATGGGTATTTTGGCCGGAAGCAAGAGTTTAAAGTTAAAACATCTTAATTATGGATTTATTTCTCACATACAAGAAGCTTTTTACTTCACAAGACATCAATTGATGGACTGGAGTAGTGTGGATTACTTGCAGATTTTTCTGATGTTTTTATCAGCTGTTTGGACTCTCATTCTGACGGCACCCATTCACTGCAGAGGATCCACCGGTGAGCAAGTGATGTAATGCAACATTTCTCCAAATTTGTTCCAATGAATAAACAAACTCATCTACATCTTGGATGGCATGAGGGTGAGTACATTTTCAGCAAATTTTCATTTTTGGGTGAACTATCTCTTTAAGACATCATACCTGACTCTGGCGGAGTGTGTGCAGTACAGTTGGCTTCCTCCCCTATTCCGGCTGAATTAACTGCAGCTACGCTGATGACATAGAAAATGTTAGGTGACAGGCCGATGAAAGTGTGTGCCACTGTGTGTGCGAGCACGAGAGGATGAGCCTCCTCCTCTAGATCTCCAGAGCGAATGAGGTAGTACAGAATCTCTCCGTTAGGATGAATCGGAAGCTCCCATTCCATGTACACTGAATTCCAATCCAATCCAGAGCAGGTCAGATTCCCAATGGCATCTGACACTGAAACATACACCCCAACACCACAGATATATCTTAATTTCTCCTTCATTTGATCGCTAAGACTCTGTATATATAAACTCTATATATATATATATATATATATATATATATATATATATATATAGTATTTTTATAGCTTTTAAATGTGAAATATCAAACAAATTCAAATTTCAAAGCCAGGGCTTAAAGATTTAAAACCTAAAGAGTTTAAACTTTTTAAATATATATATATTTTTTTACATTTTCTGTAACACAGTTGTCACATTGACAATAATACGAAATGTGTCTTCTTGAGCAGCAAATGCACATATTAGAATAACTTCTGAAGGATCATGTGGCACAAAATGGATGTGGGAGTGTGTATTACCTGATTCATTGGTGGTGAATATGACAGGTAGGCTGTACTGATCCCCATTTCCTGCTCTAGTGAATGCGCACACGCTGATTTCATATGAATTATGAGGTCTAAAGCCACTCAGTTCTGCTTGTGTGGATGCATCTGATGAGTTCTTGGGTAAACAGAGGCATATGAAGTTTAATTTACACACAGAGAAAAATGTGAGAACATAATCAAACATACCACATAGACATAGGGGTGTATTACCTGATATCTGAAAGTGTATGTGTTTAGTTCGAGTATTCGGAATCCGTAGTGCTGGACGATTCCATTTGGCTCTGGACTTGGTTCCCACTGAAGCCACACTGAATTCACAGTGTGGTTAAAAATAATCAGATCGCGTGGTGGAGACATTGGGACTGGACACACAAAAAAGCACATAAGACATTAGACACATTAAGTCTGCACATTTATAATTGAATGAATTTGCAAAGTAGGGTATTCAGATTTAGATTTTGAAATTAGGACTTCAAATTACAATTTTCAAATGTCAAACTTTATTTATTAAATTTTCAAGGCAAGATTTAAGTAAATAATTACCATTTTAGGATTATTGCCCTTATATAGAGATCATTAGTTGTCGTTCCAAATTTTTTATATATATAT